TTTTTCCAAGTCTTGAAAGGAAAGTGTTGATTTAAGTCTAGAAATTATTCTCAATTGATAATAGGTGTTTTTAACAACTGAGCTAATTTACTTTTCAAGGCAAAAATAACACCTACATTTTTTGCATGTGACTTAACATATGCAGTGAGACTGTCTAAGTTACTAACTATAGAGTTTCTGGGTTTAGAGGGACCAAAAATAATCACCTCAGTTTTTTCATTGTTTAGCTGGAGGAAATTATTCGCCATCCAGATTTGAATGTTTTTCAGACAGTCCATAAGAGGCTGCAGAGAATGTCTAGATTTTAATGGAACGTATATATGAGAATCATCAGCGTAGAAATGAAAAGAGATTTTATATTTCCTAATTATATTACCAAGTGAAAGCATGTACAGATTAAAAAGTGAATTTATAAGCGATATACAGTAGTTTGATCCGAGCGCATCTGAAAAATATAGCGGAGGACACAGACTGAGCTGCTGCGGAGAAATGCTTAATCCAATTTGTTCTAAACACGTGACAAGCTTCATATTAAGGCCTTTAAAAACTGGTAAGTTTATCGTTTCGAATAGTTTAAGCGGCTCGCCCCATCAGATGCTCTGACAGAGAGGCTGCGTGTGCCGCTGACAGAGACACTAGGCTACTCGCGCTGTTAAATGTGTTTGAAATGTGCCGTTTCCCTTACATTTCACAGGTATATCCTCCGTCTGTAAATGTTAGAAAGTGTCAGCTGTCAGAAGTGCATGAGCCTTTTGCTTTGGGATTCTCCGCTAAACTTCAGAGACTTCATTTAGAACGAGCGGCGCTGCGCGCATGCGCGCCAAACAGACGGAGCTCAATGAAAGAGGAGCTTAACTCTGACTAAAATATACATTTCGCTGAAATATTTGTAGTTGGACAATAAATGTGACATATGTAGAATTTCAAACCTACAAGTAAGTCTATTTTTATGATAGCACTGAATGTAAAGTGCCTGTAATGGGGTAATCAAAATAGCCTACCACAACTCTGTGCTTTTGTTCTCATTTATTTTGATTTTTAGTTTAGTGAATTTAACTTTCGTTTTAAAAGCCTTATTTTTAGATTGTTACAATGTTAGAATGAAATGTGATTTTAACCCTTTTTTGCACATAATATAAAGGCTTACATGGTTACATTCACTTTATTTGTTTTCATAGCCTTTAATATGTATTATTTTGTTGGACAACATTGGGAAAATAGCCTAACACAACTCAAATTTTCATTTTTAGTTTAGCGAATTTAACTTCCAATTTAAAAGCCTTATTTTAGTTTTTAGATTGCGATGTTACAATGTGATTTTCACCCTTTTTTGCACATAATATAAAGGCTTACATGGTTACATTCACTTTATTTGTTTTCATAGCCTTTAATATGTATTATTTTGTTGGACAACATTGGGCAATAAGTGAAATATATATATTAAAGGGGTCATATTATGCTGCTAAAAAGAACATTATTTGGTGTATTTGGTGTAATGAAATGTCACACACGGTGGCCTACAGTGAGCAGAGGCCGGGGGCTAGCGTGAGGAATGGCCGGAGGGTGAGAGTGAGCAGAGGCGGCGGGCTTGAGAATGGCGCGGCCGGCGATTTCGACGGAGGAGCGTCCAGAAGGACATGTGACGACTCCGGCTTCGTCCACGGTGAAAGCCGATCCGGCGATCCACAGCGCAAAGTTGATGTATTTCCTCAGTGACCAGCACGGATCAGCTCCAGGCATGACGAAGCGGATATTGTATTCTTTTGGAAGGCCAAGCAAAGTAGTTTCGCTTTCACAAGGAAACACACAGCGCCTTCACGACATGGCGGCAGCGGCAACAATACTACAGCGAGAATAAAAGTTACGCTTTCTTTCTTTGTGTGAACATTTGGGCGGCGTTATGCAAATCTTCCCACATTGTGACGTAGACATGTGGGGGCGTGTTGGAACGAGCCATTTTAGGCAGGCGTGGCTGACTCTTAACTTTTATAAAGAATATCTCTTTGGATTTGAGACTTTAGTCTTTGCAACTTTACAGATCTTTTTTATGCACCAAGAGCTTGTAACACTCCAAAGAGAAAGGAAAAATTTAAATCGCATCATATGACCCCTTTAAATACAGATTTTTTAAAATACAAATACAAAAGCGAAAATACCGAGATGTATACCGTATATCGCAAATCGGCCAAAAAATACAAAGATATGAATTTTTGCCCATATCACCCAGCCCTATGTTAAATAATAACAAAACACGGTAAAAAAAGTGTGACCTTTTTTTCAGAGAAATATATTTTCAATCTGAGTATGAACAACAAACAAAAAAAATGGGGAAAAAATGTGCAAATGATCTTTACACACTATATAAGAATTATTTACATAATATAACAACCAAATGGATCGATCCACTGGCAGTACTCTGCGTTGGAATCGATTCTACCGTAACAACGCCTAGTGACGCGAAAACAAATTCCAGTGCTTTATCTGATATGCACCAGTTTAATCCTTGTTTTTGGTTTGTTTTGTCAAAGTGCTCTGTCAGAGAGTGTTCTCATGCAAATGTGTTATTTTGTGCTCGTTAGGGCTGTCACGATTATGAAATTTGGCTGACGATTAATTGTCTAAAAATAGTCACGGTTATTGTGATAAATTGTCTGTTTTAGGGCTTTGGCGATTATGACGATTATGCCAATTATCACGATTAATTGTCTGTTTTTTCATGCTTTCATTATATAATTGTGATTTAAGGGTTCAGTAAATAATTATGATGTTTTCTTTTAATCTTTTTTGAGTTATTATTTTGCAGTGTAAGATTACATAGAGTATTCCAAATTCTAAGAATCGGCCAATACCGATCCAACACCAGCGCTACTTTTTTTCTACACCAATACAGAATATCAATACTGTGTTTGTGGAACTAATGGTCACTCTTTTTTAAACCAATCCATAAAATACTCACTTCCTCATTACAGAGAAAAACTACATTTGAATAAAAATATAAAATTAAACTAGCTGACTGTACAATTTAGCAGCAAAAACAATATCTTGAAAAAATCTTTGGTGCACATTATACAATTTAAACATGTTTATTCTGTTAACTATTTGTATTCTTACAAAATGCATTCATAAAAATAAGAGTAATCAAGAGGAAAAATAAAAGCTTCTAATAATCTTTGTGTGCAAAACTTTGATAATGTGAAACACTTCAAACAGAGCGGCACAAAGCTCTTATGCACATCTAGGGTGCAGAATGATTTGCTTGAAGCAACATTGAGTGGCAGCGCTTATGCACATCTAGGGTGCAGAATGACGTGCTTGAAGCAACATAAGTCACAGCCGCTGCACTCCACATGGTACAACTGTTTGAATGCTGAGCGGAGAATGACTGACAGCTGCAGCAGAAGGAAGATGAGTTTCTGTAAACTTAAATTTAACATCGTAAATACAATCCTGTCCCTCACATTAAGATATGGAATGGCTTCAGATGATATAGGCTATACAGTGCATGAAAAGCAACCTGGTGCTCTTCTGTTTCTTTTGGTGTATGACTCCTCCTTGTGCTGTATAAAAAGCACAATAATCGCGGATGTTTAGATCAAATAATCGCGATTAGATGGTTATTTAATTATTGAGACAGGCCTAGTGCTTGTTTTCATACACGCATGACACACTTTACTTTCACTTTAGGTTTGTTCCAATTTCCAAAGAAGCATGCTAATTGGTGGTTCAAAATACATAAACCTATGTTTACTGGTTGAATAGATAACAGTTTGAACCAATCTGGGCACGGGGGTAGGACTAAACTTCAACAATCGTTCCTGTTTGGCTCAGGGGAACAAAATGCATTGGTTTCTTTTGATGAATCAATGCCGATCTAAATGTGATGACGTAACCACGTTCACTATGGAGCCTCTGAATGTCCAAATGAGACAAATGTGATACTTCCGAAAAGCAGTGAATCTCCTTTTTACGAGACTTTTAAAGTATTCTGATTAGCGGTTCAAAAGTTATTAAACATCTTTGAGGGTTAACAATCAATATATAAGGCTTGCCAGATCAGTAGCCTAATTCATATACAATCAACAATGAATATGGCAATTCTAGTTATTTAAACTGTTCAAAAGTTAGGGTTAGCCAGATTTTTATGCTCAGCAAGACTGCATTTATTTGATCACAAATACAGAAAAAAGCAGTAATACTGGAAAATATTATAACGTATTATTTTATGTTCTAATATGCAGGTTGGTGTTCAAGGAACATTTCTTCTTATTGTTGTGCTGCTTAGTATTTTTGTGGAATCCGTGATACATTTGTTAGGATTCTTTGATGAATAATAATTCAAACAATAAAAAATAAAATAAAATAAAAACAGCATTTGTTTTGTAGAAATGTTTTTTCTGTCAATTTTGATCAATTTAATGCATCCTTGCTGAATATTAATTTCTCAACAAAATACTGACACCAAACATTTGACTGGCAAGTATAAGTGATATTAGAATTATTACTGGTGTTTGCTAATGACAGAAGGTAGAGTAGTGTTTGCTAAAGCAAGCATCACCATTATTATTGCTCATACATAGATTTAGGGATTTTAACAAAAAAAAAACACATTTACTAAACATTGTAACTCGTCTTGCACCATATTACAGACATGAATCATACCTCAAAGCTTGTTCATCAGAGCAGGGATAAGCTATAACTTTTACAAATAATCAGACTCATCTGAGGGATGATGAAATTGGTGAAAAAAATACACAACCGACTAACACTGAAAGAGGGACCCAAGCCATAACAAAAGAACAAAATATCACAGAGACTTGGACGTGCATAGGCTCCACCCAGAACACCCGACTAGTACGCATTCAGACGTAATCTATCAACTACTCAGAACACACCATCAACCATATAGCAACATGCTACAAAAACATACAGGTCAGAACACTTTAGAAACAGATTAGCAACACAAATTGAATTATTTGCATTACTTTTAAAGGAGTACTTACATTGACTTTAAAAGGCTGGACAGTGTTGTCCAAAAGAAAAACGTTGCAGACCACCTCGGTGCGCTGCCTGTCGCGTGCCAGCTCCGTCGCCCGGACATTGTAGGATCTGCCTGCAGGCAACCGGAAGCGTGCGGTCATTACGGTCCAACCAGAGTCTGTAACACAAAAATATCTACTTAAGCTTCTGTGATTCCAAAACAGTATAACAGGTCAGGTCAGGTCAGTAACTTGTTTAAAGCATGCATAATTATTATTCGAAATATTTAATTGCAGCAGAGCCCATTTTGATAGTACCAGTTGAACTAGATCACAGCGTTTCAAGTCTGATTCAGACGCCAACTTATGTGCACACATGACAAACTGATATTTTTATGTACAGCCTACTTTGTGCCTAAATATATCTATTTCCTTAGGGGTCTACCGTCTTACACAGCTTTTCTTCAGCAAACGGGGCACATGAAGGATGGACTCAGAGAAGAGCTGCTTGTACACAGAAATACACTTGATACGATTAAAAAAATAGCCTAACTCTCAAATTTTTGAGAAAAGGGGAACATAGTCTCAATTGTTGATCCAAAAGGCCTGAATTGGCCTTTACATAATAATTACACCACTGACATTTTCCCCAAATTAACCTTTAAAATATTCAATTATCAATCTATATGTTTTTCCACATTTCTCATGTTGTCTTATCTTAGAAGATCTGTTGTGCTTTATTCAGATGAATAGAGCATTCGAGCAGTTTGTGTGTAAAATCAGCCATGTGGAAGCACTTTTTAAAAGCAGCATTCTGACATGTGCACAGGTCACAACCATCAGAGACTCCTGAACTCCTCTCATGTTCATTCATAGATCTACAGTCATGCAAAGGTCAAAGTGAAATATCTCTGACCTTTAAGGTACCTCACAGGGATTTCTGGGCATTCAAGCTTCAAGGTATTTTGTGGACAAAAAAATAGGAAACACTATACTAATGCATATGTGTGATATAAGCATAGTAAAATAAAATAAAAATAAATCAAATAAAAACTCATTGCCTAGTTTCGAAGAGCATTTTACATTCACAATGTTATACAAGCAAGACAGATCATGTAAAATGAATGCAAAAAAAACGCCTGAAGTCACCTTTCTGATGAGAAGGTACCTCACCTGCCTGCTGTCTTTGCATTTAAAACACATATAGAAAGAAATTGCCCTTTGCAGACATGAAGTAATCTTCAATTCTGTTGTTCACATGTTTATTATGATTTAAGAATCTCTGGGTTCACTGGTATTTGAATGAAGTAGTTTGCATTTGCACTGCTGGAAGTCAATAATGAAGAAACAGGAGAGTATTAAATACAAAAGGGCAAACTACTAAAGACAGACACAGTTTACAAACGCAGGACAGATGCTATGTTCAATGTTCTTGTGTCATAATGCTGAACCAGCGGCTGAGGGACTCAAAATGGTGCAAACAAAAAGGCAAATGGCATCTTTAATGGTTTACTACAGTCTATTCCAAAAACATCAGCTTTAATGCATTCAAAGCACACAAACTGAGCGCAAAGGTCAGAAAGCATCTACAAAGCGCAGGTGTCCTCAGTGTAGCTCAATCCTCCTACGCAAGCTAACCTTTCTATGTCCATTCCCTCGGGGGACGTCACCTAACCACATGAGCGTGCTTGAATAGGCTTCCACTACATTCTACATAACTCACAGCTCACGGAACAAGCATTTCACTCGCAAATTACAGCATATAAATGTCAAAACCTTTATATGCTGTAAACCTCATTTGGTTGCACCAGTGCAAGTTTCTGACATGCAAGCATCCTATTGAGTAGGGCTGCACAATTAATCAAATTTCTAATCGCAATTACAATTATGGATGCCACAATTACGTAATCGTTCAAAGCGGCAATTAATCGTTCAAAGTCCACTTATGTTATTCTGCACGCTTAAGATATGTTTTTTTCTTTCTGGAATTTGTCAAAGTTTGGATGAATTAATCAAAAGTAGGTCAGTACACTTAAACTGAGTCACGATATGGACTAGTACCTGTAAATACAAAGTGTGCGACGCTCACAGTGATTTCAGCTTCTGTCGTCTTACTACATGACCCTCTGAGAGTCACTTCATGATCATTTGACAGTTTCATTTGAGTAAAACTATCGCAGTGTTTCCCACAGACTTAC